AAGAAAATAATAACAAAAAAAAAATAATAATAATAATAAAGTATCGGAAACTATGAAGTTAGCGGTGAACCTTCATTAAACACGAAATAGTTATTAGCAAAGTACTGAAAGTTCTGTGTGATTCTTTTGTAAAGGTACTGTTTTGAGTTTTTCAAATTTTAGATAATGGTAATGCTGGGTAAACTGGATGAAATTGATACAAATGCGGTGGCCTGTTATGTCACATCCTTACAAAATGAGGATGGAAGTTTTGGCGGTGATGAATACAATGAGATTGATACGCGCTTCTCATTCTGTGCATTGGCTACGCTCCATTTGATTGTAAGTCCAAGAAAGCATTTGAAAGTTTAGACATAATGACTAATTTGATTAATAAATGGCAGGTAAATAAGGGTTCGTTTAATAGCAATGAAACCCATTGAGTATCATGAGGTTATTTTATGTTTTTATTTTTTGTAAAGAAAGGATAAATAAATTCTTCAAAAATAAATGGAAATAAAACCAAAAGAAAACTAGGATTCATCTCTCCTTATTATTAAAGTATTTGTTTTTATCCAATCCACTTTTTTAGAGAAAGTTAGAAAACTCGGTAAACGTAGAAAAGGCTATTGATTTCATCCTTCATTGTTACAATTTCGACGGTGGATTTGGAACCAGGCCTGGTTCGGAAAGCCATGCCGGACAGGTTTGCGTTCACATTATTTTGCTCTTAGTAATACCATGAATCATTAATTTAAATGATATTAAAAGCGACAAATTTGTTCATCGTCAGGTATATTGTTGTTTGGGAAGCCTAGCGATAGCGGATTGCTTAGAAATGATCGACGTTCAGCGAACAGCACGATGGCTGGCCGAAAGACAATGCCGATCAGGTGGCCTGAATGGTGTGTTTGATTTTTGAGATTTTTTTCCTTTTCCTTTATTTTATCAAAATTGAGTCTTTAATTGAAAGTTTGGCCTAAATCTGCATATTTCCAGCTGAAATTACGTGAGATTTCGTAATTATAAAATACTATATTACTTCTAACTTGAGAATAATAATTTTTCGAAATAAGAAGTGGAGAAATTATGTCTCAACTTTACTATAAGATGGAAGTTACTTAAATCGTTCCAGTTATTTTTCCGGTGAATGGGTAAGCTTTTGTAGACATTTTAGAAATATGAAAAAGGAGATACACTTATCAAGACGGAAATAGATCATAACATAATTTTGTACTAACTGGAAGAGAAAATGCACAAGAAGGTTGTCGGGGGTTAAAGGTCACAATTCAACAGAATTGCCATCAGTACAAAGTTAGCATTGGAAAAAATAAAGACTACAGCCATCGTCTTCATAGACGAGACAAGCTTTATTTAATTGGGCATAATCTTTCCTATAATGAGCAGGAATTATTCAAATTACCAATGTAAGGGGAGATTTAGTAGCAACTAATGACATAATGTATTATATCATCAATGTCGTTATGTTATATTAGTTGATCCCTGCAGAGTAAATGAAAAGAATGAAGGCATCACTGGATAATAGCTTTAATGACATTACTTTCATCGAATGATTTATGCGTATTCCTGCTGATTCTCTCTTCCATGTTAACAATCTTGTCATCCCTTACATTTGGCCATTATACTTGTGGTGGCTCTAAGCGCAAAGTTTGCTAATTTTTATGAGGGAGGCAATGTAATAATGTAAGTACAACAGTCTTTTCTTTTCTGAAATCTTAAAAGACTTTCGTCAAAAATGTGCAGCATATTCGTTTTTCCTCCGAATCTTGTGGTACATCGCAAGTGTCGTTTTATCTTAGCAAAGTTATGTGATTATTTCTGTTGTCTTCTCATAATTATTCGTGTTAACCATTAATTGAGATCACATTAATATTTTTCACGAAATGATAAAACATGTGACTATGATATTCTTTAAAGGAAAGAAAGAATTTTTTCCGGTGTCAATATAATCGTAGGGTGAATTAGATCAAGGTGACCTTTGTGAAACGATACTGATGGAGATGTTTGTATTAAAGAGAGGATTCAGGAAAGGACGCGTGGCGTGTGACATAATAAATTAGAATAGTTGTCCCTTTGTCACTCTTCATCGACTAACTGTACATAAATGTTACATTCTCTTTTAAAGAGCTAAACGATTTACGCATCATTATACACATTATCGGACATGTCATCAACAAAAGTGCATGAAGAGAAATAAGGGAGGATGAGATATTCATAAAAGTTGTAACAATGTCTCTTAAAGTACTTACTTTCTGTTGTATTTCCCAATATATACTAACAAACTGATTACAATCGGGCTGTACATGCTGAGATACATTCCGGTCGTATGTAAGGAAATGTCCGTAGAACATATCTCGTCCAAATATAGTGCCTAGTACTAAGCAGTATAAAAATGGATAGATACACATAAATCTTTACTTGCCCGGAGACCTATGCTGTTTATCCCATTAGTTTTTTAAAGAAAATTTTCAGGTAGACCAGAAAAATTACCAGATGTATGTTACTCATGGTGGGTACTTGCATCACTGAAAATACTTGGACGATTACACTGGATTGATAATGTTAGCAACATTTGAAATTATAACTTGTTAAAATTTTGTAACACAATACTTTACCGCATTAATATTGACAGCATGTAAACTTTTGCGATTCATCTGTTGAATTTAGCAGTTGTTTCAGAAGTCGATGATAAAATTTGTATTAGCTTGTCAAGACAGCGATGGTGGTTTTGCTGATAGACCGGGAGATGTGGTAAGTCAATATTTCGCTTTGCATTTACATTGATGCAGATTTTCAGTATAGAAAATGAGCTCATTTGTTGATTTTGATGCACATGCATTTTTTATTCTGCCATTATTTTAGTGGATTTCGTTTTCTGCAGGTAGTGGTTTGCTGACTGATAATCAGCTTATTGCACAGTTTCAATATCATACCCACTTTTCTTTCGAAAATTTCTTTCTAACTTTTTTTCAGGCTGATCCTTTCCACACTGTTTTTGGTCTGGCAGGACTGAGCTTACTTGGTGCTTACAGTAATTTGTTGGCAACAGTTGACCCTGTGTTTTGCATGGGAAAAAATTGTCTTGGTGATTTATCTATCTCTTAAGAAAAATCATTGTTAAAAAAAAATATATGGTAGACTGCTTCACTCTTTCAGTGAGGTAATCGCATTATTTATTGCTACGAACTGTGGCAATCTCTTTATTGTGCTAGATAATACTTTTTAGAGTCCCTTTCTTATTTTTAAAGTAAATATAATTTCAGAAAAACCTTAACATGAAATTGTAAGATGCTGGGTTCATTTAATTTTTTAAACGAAGATTGAAGAAAAGTTGGTGAAAAAATGTCTTCATTTCACCTCACGTTCTCTTTCCCAGTAGAGTGCTGGAAGTAATGTTATATTTTATGCATTAAATGAAACAACTAAAAAGAGAAAGAGATTCACTATTTTGAACGTATTTTGCTTTTAAAAATTCGAAAAATAAACTCCTGAAATGAGGTCAGTACGGTGTGCATTGTATTGATATGGTGAGAGGAGCGGAATAAACTGGAAATTGGGTAATTAAAGGATGCGAGAGTGCGCAACAGCAGTGTACCTTGTCATCGGCCATGTTACATACATTTTTATAGCTATCATAAAGCTTTTTATGTCAGATGAAGATGCAATGCGGCACGTGTGCATAGCTTATAATAATGTCATATTTTTGATAATTGTGAAGTTGTGGTTTTCATAATTTCACAAACGCTTTTCTTGATTATCATTGACAGGATGCGTCACCTATATTACTTGATGTTTCCATTGACAATGCAGATTGCATTCATTGATTTCTGAGTTATTCCTCTCTTATTAGTGGCCGTTTCACTTATTTTTACAGAAAAAGTTTGGAGCATGTCGTACGAAACTTATTTTGCGAAGATTTTTTTTCAATAAACATTATATGGCATAAATCACCCATACAGTTATTCAAGCTGAAAAAGGCTTAATAAATTCATTTTCTTGCATTTTCAGACTAATTCTAGGTTTTTCCTGCAAATTGGTTTTTGTTTCAATTAAGTGTTTTCTTAGAAGGCGTTAGAAAATATGGATTAGTGGAATTTTTTTCTCGTTTATGTAAGTTGTTGATTTGTGTATGTTTAAATCTGTAGAAAATAAAAATGGTTAGCATTTTCTGTTCATGAACTAATTAATCCCCACTTCTGGCACTCTCAGTGGTGAAGTATGACGATGTACACATCTCGAGTATTCCAACATCTTATGCAAGATATTCAGTCTGAAAGTTTAAAACTTAGATTGCAGCTGATAGTTGGGCTAGGAAGACGCACAACAGCATAGTAAGCAGAAGGAAGCTGGTTTTTTTAGATTGTTGGAAACGAACAAGCTATTTGCAGATGCCTACAAAGAAGCTGCGTGAACTACGTGTCACAATAAGGGATAGAGATGGAAAGCTAGTTACATGCATGAATTAAGTTAGAGGTTAGTCATGTGCATGAATTAAGCTGAATGTACTGGATATATTGAAAAAAGAGAGAAAATTCGGAACTCTTACATTAAAACTTGCTAAAGACGAAGTTTGACATAAATTTTGTTGTTGAATGACCCCTTCTTGCGGATATTCTTATTGTTTTGGATCTTTCACAAGATCCCATCTATTTATTCCCTTCATTAGGTACTTTTTTAGTATACTTTAAGTGTGTTGTAAGTTCACATGCTACTTAGATTCTTTTGCTCTCGTGCGCTTTTCTAGCTGACTATTGCATATGAACTGATTTTTGAAAAGAAATCTTTGGTTGGAAAAACGACAGTATGTGTTAGGAAACAAGGCTGAATCTTATGCATCAAAAGAAGATACTCCCGAAAGATTCTGTCTTCAAAAATCCATAAACGCACCAAACAAACTATACAACAAGGGAAAACTACAACGATTTTAAAAACTCATACAGAGAAACTGTCGTACTTAAGTCTAAAAGTGGACCAAGCATAAACTCTAAAAATGAATAAACTAACTGAGAAATTAAGCAGTAATTGTACATGAGTTTACACCTCTCGCTAGCTTAACAGATTGAAGAAAATTATAAGGCAGTTGACAAAAAACACGGTGTGACACAGTTAGGTATACTTGAAGAAATTGCATCATTGGAATCCGGATGATCATTATTGAAGTATTGACTTCTTCATGTTTTACTTGTAAAGTTAAGCTTCTGAGTAGCGTCATAAAAATACTAAACAACAGCGCAACAGATGAGATGTCATTCAACAGAATAGGGAATGGAGAATGGGCTACCGTAAGATTTGATGGATGATTCTCCTCTTCCCCTCCTTGTCGGAGAGAATGGAGAGAGGGGGACAGTTCGGGTACCACAATGTGCTTAGAAATTTGTTGCTCCGCCCAGATCTTAAAGGAAATTCGGTTTTGATTGCATGAGATGACATATGGCTCTTCTCCATAGTTTAGTGATACGAGTTTGCTAATGACAATTACCGACTTGCTTTGGAAATGTCCTCCTCCTCGACGTTATCAGCAAATTGGCAGCAGCACTATTATGCGTCACTCACCACTGTATCCACTAAGAAATCTGCTAATATTACAGCCATCGCTACAACTGCTAACTATACTAATCAACCATGCGCATACTGTGATCAATCCGATGACAATTTCTGCTGCAATCAAAAGTAAGTTTGTTTTCAATAAGTTACAAAATTTTGCTACAAATATTTGTCATTCTGCAGCTGTAGACATCCTTGGATAATTTCATGCTTACTTCTTTGACAGATGCTATATCACAAAGTGATCATGCAGTAATAATATCAACATTCAGATACGGCATCATTTATAATCTCACTCAATGAAATATAGGAATTTTGCTTTCACTCAAAAATCTTAATATGCAATGTACTTATATAATTTTATTCCGATATTAAGTAATCTACTGGTACTGAAATATTTCGTCGAAAAGACTGTTCAATTACTTATACTTTTTTTACAGTCTGATTACTAATTTTATAAAAATGTAGAAAAGAGAGTTTTATAAGTTGACTTGAAGGAGATCGACTTCTTTAATTAAGTGAAGTGAACATAAGAATTGTTGCTGCTTAAGAACTCACAACACAGAACTATCACTTGGCTTTCTTATGCCCCATTCCCTACTAATTTCACATTGGCTTTTTTCTCATTATCATCCTCATTATTCGTTGTTATTAGTAATACGTGAAATGATCAGCACATGATAACGTGTTGTGATCAGCGTAATGCTAACAGAAAATGCGGAAACAAATCAGTATTTCAGTTATATTCAGAAAGAAGAGGAAATGGAGCAACTGGAAATGAAAGTACCGCGGAAAAATAAGAGTGGAGCCCGAAGATACAAAACACCTAGCCCACAGTTGTTGCGAATGCGACGTCAAGCAGCGAATGCACGGGAACGAAAGAGAATGAATAATTTGAACGATGCATTCGATAGAGTAAATTCATTATTTATTCATTACTTATCCGATACAAAGTACAGGCGGTCAAAAATATGAAAAGTGAGTGGAACTAGGCGAGAAAATAAGGTCAAAACAAAGAATGATGACCTTTTCTTTCGAAATCATGTTGATTACATTTATATGACGTTATAGACTTCGGAGAGCTCGACAGATATGGGAAAAATGATATCTAAAGTTGTCAAAAATTACCTGACATACCTGAGTATTTTCTTCTATTTTGTTATATCTTATTTCAATGCAAACACCGAATACTACGCCATACTACTATTAGGGAGTTGATCAGTTAAAAACGATTGTCACATCCAGACGATTCCGCTTGTATCATTCTATCCTACTGAACGTAAGTTAACAGTAGCATGTACATATATAGATTATGTTTGCAAATAACTTGTCCTCAAGTCATCTTACCTGGAAGTTTTATTTAAAAATGCTTTTGTTTTAGCTGCGAACTGTGTTACCATCGGTAGGCACCGGTCGAAGACTGTCAAAATTCGAAACTCTGCAAATGGCACAGCAATACATCGACTGCTTAGCAGAATTGTTGAATAAACCACGATGATCTCTTTTTTTCTTTCTTGCTTGTATATAAATTTACTAACTTATCCTTTAAACGGATGATTAAATCCATTTTTACCTCTTCGAACAGAACATCTTACGACAACAGCGCTTTGTATACAATAACATCCTTAAAAGAGCTATCCGACTGACTAATTTCGTTGTTACCTTGCTCAGCTTGCTATGTGTTAACTGTGACAAAGTTCTGTCACTGCTTATCTCTTCCCTTAAAATCAGTGCTACTTTTTTATCATCAAATTAACCTCATTGTAGCAGTAGAAATATCGTAATGAATACCACCCAGAAAGCAGGACTTACTGTAAAGTGCCTGATCGATAGTTCGACTAAAATTAATGACGACATATTAAAGCAAATATGTTGACAATCTGAAATTAGGCCGACTAAAATATTATTCTCATTACAACCGATTAGCAAAAGGGATTGAATGACAAGTAACATGTATCGCATGTAATTAGACTAGATTTACAGCAGATAAACGAAGGTTTGACACTTAGGCAGTTTCAAGCCTTACCGCAATTAGTTTTGGGATGGCTGGCTGAATTAAACAATGGAGGAGAAGTTCTTTCGTGTAACTCGTAGGGATAATTGCTATTTTCAAGTATTCCAGCAAAAAAATGGGACAAAAATTTCCTTCACTTCGTCACAGTGTAATCGCAATATTCATCGCCGTGTATGGATTCCTGGCAGATTACCAAGGCGGTCTTGTCCTTTGATGTGCAGTGTGAATTTATTTATTCTCTTTTTATTTAAACCAATTCAAAACACTACTGAGACCATCACAGGTTTCTTTGTATTCCGTCTATTGCTGCGTCCAAGATGTCTTCTTATAAGTCCTTTGTTAAACAATGAAATTTTCTATGAATTCAGTACAAATGAATAAATAATCAAATGAGTACATTTTGGACATACTTAATGACTTCCTAATTGGCCACTTAATTTGGACTATTTCTCTAGGGACCAATTCACATTTCTTCCCGACAAAATATTTTTCTTATTTTTCTGGTCTAAGATCTTAGGTATGAGACCTATTCATCCACATTAGCGAAGGATCACTTAACATCTCGTATATCCGCCGCTTTCCTGTTTTGGCTCTCTTGTTGTTTGCTTATCGAACATTTAGCGCATTTTACTTTTTTCAAAGGTCAAACATTGTCGCACTGATATCTAGCAGACTAGTTTTCAAGTCTATCACATCGTATGCAACATAATATCCTACGTGATTCCTTCCTGACTTTGTTACGTGTAAGAAACTTTTGATCTTAGCTTCATTTTCTTCTTGTTAAAAATTATTGTTTTTGGGCTTATGATTAGTAAATTACTAATGACAAGTGTGACAATGATAAGTGTGGCATGTGATTTAGTCTGAAAACTTTCTTGCGCTATCTCTGATCAGTGTTTTTGTTTATGAATGCGCTGAACTCTTCCACGACGTTTGTGCAGTAATTATGTGATAAGCCATCATTAGCAAAGGACAATATTGTGGAAACGTCGGATGAGATATAATTACATGACCGTTGACCTTTGTTTGATGTTGCCTGCACATTATTTTTGATAAATCTTTGCTGGAAAGAAAGCAATTACCACCGATAATCAAATCCAACGTTGTATTCTTTTCACATCTACACGACATGACGGTGACGGTTGTATAGTTTAAGGGTTTTGTGACTAGAAAAACACATTTCCTAGTCTTAATTCCATTCTTAATACCAATATCCTGTCAGACATAATTTTGGAATTTCACGTAAGTTACAAGCTCACACTTTTCAATTCCATTCAGATCATAAAATGGCATGTTTAGATTCTCTTTGCAGCTTTAAGTTCACTAATTTGAATTTCATTTGAAGTTCGAAGACTCGAATCCCATTTGAAATTCAAGCTCTCGGACTCAAGTCTCTAAATTTTAATTCTGTTTATTTGGATTCTGCTTTCGAAATTTAACGTGACACCAACAAATTTTCATAGGCGGTTGGCAGTTTAGCTGCATTTCAGTGGTTGGCAAAATTTGGACTTGTGGGGCGACTGGCGGTGGTGGATCTTTCAACCGACCAGTTTCTAACGGAAGCATATGTCTTCTATCTCCGTCCCTGTTTTTCTACATTTTGTGAGCTTCCTTAACATCTCGTTCTGTCTACGGTAATTTTCAAGAACTTGGTGACGTCATCGCTCGAAGAACCGGTGGCACTATTGGATCAATTTTAATAAATGTCGTGACATTTATTAAATTAGCTATTTCTGTCCTTGTTTTTGGCTCTTTCATTTCTGTTTATTAGTTTTAAGTATTATTAACTTAGTAAGTATTATTACCTAATTTTGAGCAGCTACTATTACATTACGTATAGATTCATGAAAAAAGAGTATTTCCAAATTTATTAGCTATAGAGATTGATTGACATGTATTGTCCGTCTTATATCTCCATTTTGAATCATTATGACATCAGTCATGATCGAATGTGGAAGGTGATCATTGTGTCATGATTAGATGTTGGAAACAATTTGCCATAAAGTGACTTTGTAGTAATTTTGGTAAAGCCGTCTTTACTAAATCTGCAGGATGCCAAGAGTAGAATATGAGCTAAAATTGGATTTCAAGGACGTTCTTTTGAGACCGAAGCGATCCACACTGAAGAGTCGAGCGGATGTCGACCTTGTTCGTGAGTAAGTTTCTAACTTATTCTCCTTGTATGCATTCTCCTTGATCCTTGATCCGTTGTCCTGCAAACATTATCGCTTCCATTCACTTATTTTCTTTTTAGTACCACTGTGTTAATTATTTCGGAAATGATCTGCAGTATTGATTTCGTTTCGGTCAAAACTTATCTATTAGCAGTCAATTACCGCTTACCTATTAATGCTGTTATTAAATGGCTAATTGGCCCAGTTGTATGAATTCCACTCTTGCATGGCCCTGCTTATAACTATATGTTGCAGAAATTTTCTAGCATTCTGAGATATAAATGCTTTTTACGGAAGCTTAAACTTCGGTTAATAAGGAATGGTGCTAACGATGACTTAAGATATAATTGAGATTACATTTTTTTCTGTTATTATTTCTTATCCATTTGATTTCTCACCAGCTTCTCAGCGTTGTATTCAAAGGTTGATAGATTGAAGAAACAAATGCAATTACAGTGTTATATAAAAATTCTCAGATTTATATTTCGAAACTCGCAAAAGAAGTATGTTGGCATACCTATTGTTGCATCGAATATGGACACTGTGGGAACATTTGAAGTGGCGGAAGTTCTTTCCAAGGAAAAACTTTTCACATTTATGCATAAGCATTACTCAATTGAACAATGGATGGAATTTGTGGGTAGAATAGGCTCGGACCAAGATGTACGTTATATTTCTCTGCCATCATGTTTTTTTGACTCGATGTCGAATTCTTGATGGATTTAAATAATTTAGGGTATAGGGCAATTTGCAGGAAAAAAGAACTTTTTTGGAAGAGGAGAGGTTGCGGCTAACACAGTTAATGTAAGTGGTATGATGGAGAACCACGGAACTGAAATAAGTATCTGGAAAATTCAAATTTTATGCAGATATTATCACAAATCGGGATTTCGTCTGGAGTATCCGACTCTGATTTTACAAAACTAAAAAAGATTTGCGGATTAATACCCGAACTACAGTACATTTGTCTGGATGTCGCGAATGGATATACGGAAGTGTTTGTGGATTTTATACGACGAGTTCGAGAAGAGTTTCCTCGGCACACAATATTTGCTGGGAATGTGGTAACAGGCGAAATGACTGAGGAACTGATTCTATCAGGCGCTGACGTTGTAAAGGTTTTTGTTTGGATGAAGTTTTACAACTTGGGGGACATAGATCTCCAGATAATTTATTATTAATTTTAAAAATGATTTCTATTACCTTTTTCCGGACCTTGCTATGTTTTTGTCAAATCATTACTGCTGCCCATTTTCAAGAGATGTTTTGTTTGGTATGCACCTGTTGCATATGGTTTTTCAGGTGGGCATAGGTCCTGGCTCAGTTTGCACGACACGGAAGAAAACTGGAGTTGGTTATCCACAATTGAGCGCTGTGCTGGAATGTGCTGACGCTTCACATGGCCTGAATGGGCATGTGATGAGTGATGGAGGGTGCACAAACCCTGGAGATGTTGCGAAAGCATTTGGTGCTGGCGCTGATTTTGTAATGATCGGAGGTGCCAAAGATTTCTTTCTTCCACCGCATGGCCCTTAATGTCTGCATTCGTGCAGAAAAAACAAGTTGAAAAAAACAAATTCCTCTCGTTGTAAATTATATAGGAATTACACCTCTAGTCAAGCCCTACATTATTTATAGGCCTTTTTGCGGGACATGATCAGTGTAGTGGTGGCACTGTTGTGAAGAATGGGCAGAAATACAAGTTGTTTTACGGAATGGCATCTGATACGGCGATGAAAAAGCACAAAGGAAACGTACCAGAATACCGAGCTTCGGAAGGCAAGACAGTAATTCTTCCATGCAGGCAAGTGTGTCGTTTGTAGAAATCATGTGTTACTATTTCAGTTCTTTCATCATGCAAATTCAGCCCAAGATCCAAAATCAATTCTATTTTACAGAGGTGATATTTCCAATACAGTACAAGATTTGCTAGGTGGACTGCGATCGGCCTGCACATATATCGGTGCGAAGAAATTAAAAGAGCTTTCGAAACGGGCAACTTTCGTTCGTGTTGCACATCAGACAAATGAACAATATACAACATTTGAAATATCTGCAGCAGAATTGCAAGGGTTAAATATCGGGATCTGATTCAAGTTCCTTGGACAACTTCAGCTTTTTCTTTTACTGTATTATTTAAGCTATACAGCATTGTATATCCATCTCTTATTTTGATTCTTAGTGATTAGAATTTAAAGAAATTCAGTTTTTGTTTTCATTTGCTGTTCATGTATTTTATTGAAAGAGGTTTTTTCCATTTCTGAAAGACTTTTCAAAATTTTAAGAAAAAATGTCTACTGCTCTATCTACAACCGTTCAGATATTCAATCCAAAATCTTCCTCAGTTTGCACATTCTTACACTTCAGTCTATAAAAAGTGTTAAAATGGGATTTATATGGAGCTTTCCAAATCATATTTGTTCACAAGAATAATTATGCATTCTGTATGCACAAGTTTTCTATCGTTGCTTCCCACTTTTTTGATTTTTATATTTTTTGCTTATGTTTTTCTTTTTCGAAAGATACACATCTCGGAATTTTTCGATTCCACTTTCCAGAAGATATGCATTCGAGTACATTTTCTGAATCTAGGCGGTATTCTGTAGAAGTGCAGTAGAACACCACTTTCTCTCCAACGAGATAATATGGCTTAGCTGGTGAGGTGCTGTCCCCATGTTCTGGTTTACCAGGAAAACGGCAGATTGGTATACCTGAAAAATTCTACCATCCTTTTTGTACTGATTTTTGTAGCTTGTTTGCAAGTGGTTTTTCATCCTATCTCGTTAGGATTTATGGCGTTCCTTCTATAACCACCTCTGTGAATTGCCAAAAAGGTAATTATTAGAACTTAATGGAAAAGACGCCTTTTTCACTGCTCCGAATCTCCAAAGCATACACTTTACGTCGATAGAAGTCCAGTTACCATTTGCATGACAAACGCTATAATCGATACCAGTTAACATGTAACCACGTCTACATTCAAATACAACCACTTCCCGTACATTGTATTCTTCTTTCACGTCCCCAACAATTGCAGCATTCCTTGGTATTTTCGGTACTCGACATTTCACACCTTAAAGTCAGGTAGTATTAAACTGACAGTGAAGAAATATATCAATAAACTAATTGATAAAAACTGTAAATTTAGCTTAAGTGAAAAAAGGAATGGCAAGCACTTCTGTGCAGGCCGAGAACTTACTTTTACATTGCGGTACAATACCGGACCATTCCCCGTGTGGAAGACATTGTAATGTCCGATTCCCATCTAGAAAATGTGTTAATGAACAAGAGAACCGTGCTATACCTCCAACTTTGAACGTTGTGACCACTACTTTCATTTCGAAATCCATGATCACTATTGGTGGACACTGCAATGCTACAAAAAATGCTATGCGGAAATTCATTGCGTTTGAATTATATAATGGTTTTTTTTCTAGAAAAAAAGAAAAAAAATTGATTTCAAGCAGATACGGACAGTGACAACTGGTAGTAAGCGTTCTCCGAACACTTTAACAGCAAGGTCCTGTGCCGGATATTGCCCATTTATTATCGGCAGTGTATTTCGAGCGCGATACATTTGATGTCTTCATGTTTTGAGCTACTATTGATGAAATGAGAAAAGGCTTCGAGCGCCAGCTAAGTTGCACAAATTATATTGTTACTATCGAAATCCAATCGTACCTCGACATTTTGGTAAGGTATGAGACCACTTCCCGGAACTTAGACATATCGATGAACGTGGCCCATCAACATATGAACCTTTTCCACATGAAAACTGTGCGACTGTCCCAATAAATAAATGAGGACTTGTGTAAAAGATTTGTAACTTTGTCGAATTTGCAAATGGTATGCATTTCTGATCTGCAATAAGGTTTTCGATGTTACCTATTTCGACAGTTTCTTTATATATGCATTTTTATGTATGTAAAACTTTTTTTTGCTGTTCAGAGGTATTGAAGCTAAATATTAACCCTTCACAATGATTCTGACAGTGTTTCGGTATCCACTTGGAAGAACGCAGTGGAAAAATCCTCCATCTTCAGGACGTGCTGCTGTTACAGTCAACTACAAGAAACGGTGATTATTATTTCGAAGTTACCTGGGGATTGTTACATCAAAAGTAAAGAGAACTGAAAGTTTGGAAATGGTGATGGACATTACTTCGTAAGCATCCATGCCGGATTTTCCAGGCAAATCGATTTCTATCCAAGATTGTGGATATTTACGGTACGTTGTTGAAACTTCCCATCTCGGCTGACCTTTTTTTCGAGGAAATAAACATTGAAGTCGAAGCGTTGTTGATATGTTCGTCACAACGTGTCCTCGCGGTGTTACTGTATGCAAGCCGCGTCCTAATTCCACATTTATTGGTGGCGCACCATCTGACGAAATTCAAAATTCTAAATTTTATTACACAGCAGGAGACTGGAGTTCTTGCAAATTCATACAAAATAAAGTAACGATACCTAAACAATCTTAATATATGTAGCGTGAGCAAACAATAATAGAAATGTGACAGCTATTGTAATAAGCCTCTATAAAAACAATGTTACAAACACTCAGTCCCACACTAACTGACAGTACAACGCGGGTTTAAGATCAGTCAGAATCAGAGTACCGCCAACCATTTTTGTTGTATGGATCCAGCGTGATGCATTTGGGTATTTTTGGCACCCATGTACCTTCTCTGCATGTGATAACAGCGTTTCCCATAAACTGCTGCATGCCATACTCTTGACATGAGAAAATTAACTCAGTGCCATCTGTAAACCATTAAGATTAAAATAGGATATATATGAAAGAAAGGCCTACTTGGTAAGCAGCACGAGGATGAAAATTAACAGAATCCCTGAAATCCTGAAATTGGTCAGAAAACTTACCAGCAAATCGCTGATTAAAAGTAATCTGTTGCTTATGTTTGGCAGAAAAAGCAATTAAATGTGATCTCTCATTCATTCGATATTCACATGAATGTACGTCTGTAACTGTTCATAGAAATATTTAATAAAATCAAACGTATAATAATATATAACTTTAAGCTTAGTAGTAAACAAATGGTAAGTTTGGGGACGGTTACTCATCCATATATGATATAAAAAGTTATTTCGGAAAATTTTGAAAGAACAAACTTAAACCTTTCATTAATGTGACGTTTCCCATTCTGAAATTGTTACAAAAATTTAATGTGGTACTTCCGCTACATCATGCATCAAATAGATGCTACTCCAAAATTTCTGACTTTCCATGCCCATTGTTTTTTTCCAATTCTTATATTCTTTATTATTCAGGATTTAGAAAATTCAACGACTACCACGAAAGATCTAGATCCTCATTTTTTTTTCCTGTCACATTGAATGATTAAAAGTAAGATTTTGGAGGTATTCCGGAAAGTTGTGCATTTGGGACCATACAAACATCACAATATTTGATACATAAGATGGATCTGTTGCATGTGAAAAATTACACGCAACCAATTCCGTAAAATTCTATATAAAATCAAATTTTATTTTACAATATAAAATAAACAATGGAGATGAATAAAAGCTCAATAAAAGAATTTCAAGGTTAGTTTATATTTAAATTCCATACAATCGACGATTGCAGTATATTGAAGGTATTTTTGGCAACATGAAACAATGAGGGAATATTCGCCTCACAGCTATACATGCCAGCTTCATAAAAAAGTTTACCGTATGGCGTCATTGAATCGTTCCAGTTGACCTATCCTTGTCAGAAATTTTCACAACATAGTATTCAATAAAAAATCACCGGTTTCATAATTTTCAAAATGGAAGTTTTATAAATGGTTTTACATCGGTATGTATAAACATTAGTAATGTTAAAGGGGATTTGTCATGAAACTCAATTTTTGCTAATTATTATACCGTATAACAATTTTCTGACCTGAATAACAATGCAGCATGCCAGCGGTGACCCATTTGCCTCTACGACAGCGCATTTCCATTGTTCTAGCTTCTTCTATCAAAAACCCCACAGCACAGCCTATCTAAACTTGATTGCAAAATTTTGCTTCCAAAAAATTTGAAAATCTTTTCCAAAACTATATCAACTAAAGCAGCAATTCTAAGCACCTGATGACAGTCAGAACAATCGTAAAAACTCTAATACAAGCCAAGCTTTTTCTTCCAGTTGATCAGCAATAACTTTGAAGTAAAATCGATGTTAAAAAATATTCTGAGGAATATCTGTGCCTTAGATAATTTGACGAATTCTTTGAAAAATTAGAAAAACCTTCAAAGTAGTTCCACGAGCAAAACGTGATTTTGTTGAAATGTGAGCATTTTTGATATTAAGAATTTTGTAGGAGGAAGCAAGATTGGGTATGTTGCACATTCCATCGGATTGAGTAACAAATGTAGTTGCAGACGCTTTGACTACAAGTAGCAATAATTTTTATTCAATTCCATTAAGCAAAGCTGGAAGATAAAAGCAATTTGATGAGAACTGATACTACGAAAGTTTCGAAAACCCATTCATTCATTCTTTCAAATTTTATAAATTTGAAAGGATAAAAAAGCTACCGAAAGCTTCTCCAAATCTAACAATCTTTTTCAAAAGGGATAAAACTGATGTGTTAAACACTTACAGTCAGTAAATATTATCTTTAAGACTAAAATCAGGTTTTATTTTCTATGCTAATATTCTTCATGTTAGACTTTCCAATCACATGCAGCTGGCATGAGATACATCCATTCGGTGTAAAAGATAGCCATAGTCAAAAGTGTTGAAGCTCAAGCTCTGTGGAAGATAGGAATCAAAAGCTTGAAAAAACTTAGTGCATAGCTTGCGGAATTTTGGACTACTCCAGTGGGTTTCTTCGGTAAATGCGTGACGCAAAACGCTACAGCAGCAGGCGTACATTTTGATTCCGGGAGTTATGACAATTCTACTGCCTTCTGACATTATAGATCGTGGAAGTATAAGTATTGTAAAAAATACACAGTCTGAATAGAAGTAACTTAAGTTAGCAATAATAAAAATTTTCAGACTTACCACAGGGTAAAAGACGCGTGAACCATTCACCATTCCGACATTCGATGGCATTCGCTTTATTTTTGTATTCATTATTTACACAGATGTACTGAATTATTGTATTTTTCGGGAAAGTGGCCTGTTGTACGCTCATATCTAAGCGAACCGGATGGCCACTGATATTTGTTGTGCGGTATGCAACAAATGGTTGGTCATTATTTGGACGACGACATGATGCTGATGGTGATTCTGAAGATTTGAAAATGATCCAATAATTTTGTTATCTCAACAACCAATCATGCTGTAGATATTAATTTCAAAAATACTAAATGACATCTTCGGAAACAATTTTTGCCGTTAAACACACAAACGTTTTTTTCTTGATGTGTTAAGGACTTTTTATTCTTGAATTAGCAGTTTAAAACTACATTACTTTAGCATTCTAATTTTAGTTAATGGCAGAAAATAAATTACACCCTGTTTTTGATAGCACAAGGATTAAATGAATGCAAATAAGAAAACAGCAGTTTTAATATCGAATTAAACCAACCATCATCAGTGCACCCAAAATATGGGAGTATTTCACCAAAGCGACATTTTAACCGAATAATGTTCGTTTCACATATCATATCAATTTCTTCATTGTGATGTAATTCTGTCTTATTAGAGTTGTATCTGTAGCCCTCACCTGCTTCTAGTTTGCAGCGTTCTGCAGGAAAAAAAACTAGTTTCTTTATCTGATAATTTGACTACTGAAATACTCCTTGCCTCATACTTCCCAGTTACCAAACTGCACTAGAAAAAATACAAAGCTATACTTGGCCTACAATGCCCGATTTGCTGAATAAACACTCCTTGATTGCACTCAAATTTATCATTTCCATGCAGTTCATACCCACGTAAACAAACCATTCTTGCCCCACCGCCGTGCTGCATAATATCATCTGACTGCAAGATTTGCTCTGACCGTATGTCAAGGAAGAAGGCATGATTGCGTATCGGTATCCGACAATCATCTACAAAACCACTCACGGATTTAAAAATTTTTCCTATTGCCAAATTGCTATTATTGCTTTCGTAAAATACCAAGCAGCAAAAAAATCTGTTTGTAAGCTTGAAAAATATGTGGGAGAAATACAATACCAGGAATGCAGTTAGGAACTTTTGGCCTCCATTGTCCATTTTTACAAAACGCAATTCCATCTGCTCGCGCGTTTTCGAAGTGAAAACCTTCAGAACATATTACCTAAACAGTACTTGATACTCGATATAACAAAATTGATAGAAATCTCTTTAATTTCAACTTGTCTGTTTTACGCACATAAAAAAGGTCTCTCTGTCTGATTTGCAATCAAAACCAACATGAGAATAAAAACGGGAATAGAAATTTTCAGATCTTTTCACAATCAAAATGGATTTTTAAAGAAATACAGAATAGAACAGAACATTGGAACTACAATAAAATGAAAGTAAGAGTCAGAAGACTGCTCGAAACGAACCATAATTTCAGTTGGATTGTCATTACCTTTCGTGACAACAATTTTCCGTCTGTAATCAACTAAAATCGGTTCACACTCAACAGAACGGCGACGTCGCATCCAAGCAATTTGTCCTTCCACCATCGGATGAGTTTGTGGTACACATTTTGGCCTCTTCCGTGGCATCCAATTCCCATTGACACATGTTGCCTACAACAGAAAACTGTTAGGCAGTATTAATTTGAAGTAAAAAACAACAAACTTTAAACGTCCAGGAAATTAATTCTGCACAAATTTCATCCAATTCAAATTTATAACAGGCATAACAAAAAAGCAGACACAGTATGAATGCTGTGAAGTAAGTAAAAAAAAAATATGAAAAATTACTTTTGGTGATCCGAGCAACACAAATCCTTTTTTACACTGAAATGAAATCGAACGACCCTCTTCCACTTCCGATATATATTGGGCGTAGTCATAAGCCCCCATCTGTCCTTCCAACATTATTTGCCCGCCTTCTAAGACCCCAAACGTTTTAAGCGGATGTTCACAGAGAACTTAAATGTTACAGATTACGAAATGAATTGGATGAAATGGATCAGTGTATTCACCTCACATAATGAGAAGGTAGGTAACGTCGGACCGTTATGTAGCTTAAAAATTACTATACATTGCAAGCAACAGAATAGAAATTACTGTTTTGAGTACTTCAACCGTTGAATCTCACAAATACTTTAACTGCTGAACGCCACAGACAATCCTCTGGTTCTTACTAATAGCATCCACCAATCTAATTCTTTTTTTTTCTTTTTGCAAAGTTAACTGAAATCAAGGGAAATTATAATTCACTTCGATTATTACGATGGACAAAGTTGCAGCAGTTCACTTCATCAGGCTACGACGAGGTAACAAGTCAGTTTTTTTGTAAGCTTGGTGCAAAAGCGTACCAGAAAATGGCAGCAAAACTACCTGGCTGACATGAAAATGGTTCGCCTTCACTGGACCACTTTCCATACAAACATTTAACAATATTATGTATTCCAGATGGCCGATATCCCTCATTGCACTCATATCTCGCAAATGCTCCGTGTGACGATTTTGTGAATACAACTTTTGCATTTGGCATTCTTGGTGGCCAGGATTTGCATCGCACTTTAATAGATACATTTTGTAAAATCGTAATTTTAAATCAACTTTATAAATTCCCTGTAATTTATTAATATACTTGCAATGAATCATGTTTAGCAGTTTTTCAGACATAAGACCACGTAGTCATAATAGTGTGATTCCTGGGAAAAAAAGTATGTGTGGAATAAGCATGACAGTTTTCCCTAGGTGAAATAAATGAAAAACCTGGTATGCAAGTTGGCATATGTGACCAAGTACCATTTCGACAGATTATAGTTGCTTCTACATCAGCTATTTCATGTTTTGGTGCACACTCTACTCTCAGTCGCTCTCCGTGTAAAGCAAGCTGTGAAGGAGTGTGGTTAACAACATGTCCATCGCTTATTTCGGGTATGCGACATCCACCTACTTTGAAAGATACTGACCATAGCTTTTTAAACAAAACAATTATACTGCTAAACTTATACGAATTGTTATAATTAGAAAATTCAATCAAGTTTGAAACGAGACAACTCTTATTTTTCTTCTACGCCCGTCATTAATCGTACTATCATCGACAAAGTGTTGTATTGCGTGGTAGACAGTCTAACATTTCAAATAGTAAAAAATGCATTAAAGATTCGACAACATATCACTCTTCCCAAGATATAAAGCATAAAATGAGAATAAGAAGTGGAATATATATATTATTTAAAATTGATCATATTTAAAAAATATTGAATTATATTTTAAAAAGCACTCAAACAAACAGGCATTGGATGTGACCACCGTGCATCGTCTTCACATTTTGCATAAGGTGCACCAATATGATTCATTCCTTCTAAGCAACGAAACACAACAACTGCACCGAAATGGGTGTCATCACCTTCGATATATCCATTGTGTAATTGAGGCAGTTGTGGGCAACGAATTTCTCAAATAAATTTCGTGGTCCACTTAACTCACACTTCAAAACTTTCATTAATCTATTTGTTGATTTATTTAGTCCTTTTATATTTTTGTGGAAAATTAACGCATCCAATGTTCTAATGCCACTCTAATGCCTCCGTTTTCATTGTACAGGTTTTTAAAGCTAGAAAAAGTTTCTCTAATTAACCTTCACATGTTGGTTCATTACCAGCCCAAACACCTTCGGCAAGACATATTCTCTGCACCTGGCCAACAAGTCGGTAGCCTGTTTTGCATGAATATGTAACACGAGATTGATAAGTCAATGAACTACCAAGTACTTTACCATGCAGTGGATCCGATGGTCTTTTACATTCCGTTGCTGAAAAACTAAATATACCAAAATATCAATATAAATTTCATTACATGTACAGATCTTGTTATAGTTGAATAGTAGCTCTGCAACAAAAGAAAAAAATTGTCGCAAATTCAGAAACTTACGTTTGCAGTGAGGCATTTGAGCACTCCACTGTCCGTTATTCAAGCAACGAAGCGTCGATGATCCAATCAGTTGATAACCGGGAAGACATACAATTTCAACTGTGTGTGGATAGTAGTACAGTTCACCTTTCCGCATTCCGTTCATGATATTTCCCGGATCGGGACAGCTACGAGCTACAAAACACACGGATGATGGAGATGGCACATAAAATGTTAAAATGTCACCAGCTATCTAGGCCTAAATCTTCTTGAAAAAAGTCTAGAAGATAAGAATTAAAGTGCGGTGGTCTAAAAGCTTCAAAGTAAAATTATTTAAAAAGGAATATACACCTCGACATCGTAAGTCAGGGCCAAACCATTTTGCTGCTTTTGCTCGATTCAATAAACATTTTGCTATCGTTATTCCTTTATTGTTATAACGATGATAACCGGGCACGCAGTTGTAATGCACTTCGGTCTCTAGTTCATATTGACCACTGTACGAATTGCCATCATGTTGGGCATAGGGTATTTCTGGTGGTGGACCGCATTTTTCTACAATTTTCCTTACTCTTGAAAATTTTTAACTCGGGAAGCAACAATTCCCTGCATTTTTGCAATCTTTTGAATCTTTATCTCCTGATTTCTTGTCTAAAGCCATCAAAAAATCCACCATTATCAGGTCGAAGGCAGAAATGAAAAAATCCCAGTTCATCAACAGCAACCACATAATCATTCGACTGGCTGGGCAACACAAAACGAAGTATTGCTTACTTAGTAATCTGCATTCAGGCTTAGTACCACTCCATTCTCGGTTCGCTTGACAACGCCGCTGAGATGGACCAACTAACACATACCCTTCATTACAACCGTATTCCGCATTCGAACCGAACAGAAAATCGCCAGGTGTTCTGATGAAACCGTTCGGTAGATCGACTAATGGATGACAGGTCGTCGCTGAAACTTTCCGAACTTCAGCCTTTAACAACAGGTGGCAAGTTTATAAAATAACATATCAGTAAGCTAAATTCAAGACATCTCCCAATAATAGAAATTGAAATGTCAGTTATCCAAGAAAAAAATATTAGAAATTCGAAACATGACAACTCAACATGGAAGTGTTTCAAAAAATGAAGTATTGCTTACTTAGTAAACTGTACCACTCCATTCACGATTCGCTTGGCAACATCGCCTGATGGACCAACTAACATAGTCACGTAATGAGTGTAAAGAGTCATAGCCACGTACAAGCATAAAGAATGTGCGTGGAAAAGTGAATAAGGAAATGCGGACATTGGACATTGTATGGTAAGAATGAAATTCACTTACACGGATTGACACATGATAAGCCACAGGTACCATCACAAAGGCATCTTTTGTTGTTTTTCTTGCATTGCTCATCTCTTGTACACGCTTTCTTGCAATAGTTGGGACGATTTGAGGCACTTACGTCAGGACATATCGTTGTCGGAGTACAGTGAATCAAACCCATTAACGGTAGCAGTAAAAACAACAACACAGTTTGCATTGGAGAGATAAAGAAAAATCATTAAAAGATGGCACCTGAAAATTGCTGTCTACAATAACAAACATGAAATATAAGTCATATTGAGAAGTAATAGTAATCGACATTTGTTCCACGTTGTAGTGAAAGTTATGGAAGGCATTGAGATGAGAGAAGAACGATGTGAAATATCTATAAAGTGTTAATCTTTGTTCTAAACACTACTGTTCACTGAGTGGTCAGTTGTGCCAATCTGATGCCTACACCTATCATAGGGAAATCATGTGACGAGTTTATCAATGACTACTTCATTTCCCAAAAATTCGAAGCTTAACAAGAGCTGTAATCAGTCAGATAATCATTCTTTCTTACAGCTATAAAATAGAATATGCTGTTTTATGTTTTAGATTCTTTTTATCCTTATCCAGAAAAACCATCGAGCGATTTCGAAATTCAAAAAAGATCAGATACAACTATGTTTTTTTAAATCTCATAAAATTATTTCTTTTTTTTAAAACCTTTTTTTGCTTAACATGTGGTTGCGTTGGTTCCTTTTTTAAGCTCGTGACAGCATATGACGAATATGTATTTTACTGCAAAACATTATACAGTGGTTATTGTTAAATGAGCCAGAGAAGTCGAGACTGGACTATTGCATTACCGATGTTCTTCATAACTGAACATCGATCATCAGTCATTGTGCTCGGAGACGCTTTTGAGGTGAATGCTAAAGCCTCCAAGCCAGTCTCAATTTCCCAATAAATAAATTTTTTTTTTAATACTAACCCACAATTGATCACTGATATCGTCATTTTGTCAGTAAGCCAAATAAAGCTAGGTACTAGATAAGTCCTGAAAATCGATTTAATTAGGATTTCCTGGCTGGCACCTGAGGATGCTGAATCGCTTCTCATTATTTAAGACCTGATAATAGCTTCTTATGTAAAAAGAGCACAAAAGGACCGTAGCCATGGAACTCCTAATTAGGACCATCTGGTCTACAATAATATTTTCTGGAAAAATGCCTGTATTTAATATTCAGTGCGCATTCATTTGTAATATATCCCAGAACTGCCGGTATTAAAACATTTGTGTTGAAGTTTCTTGTAATTCACAAAAGCCGTCGGAAATTTATTTCACAATCGTTCTGTCCAAGTTTTTAAGGTTTAGTATCGTCTTTAATACCCTCCTCTTGAAAGTCAGTTCAAAAAAAATGATTAACTAAAGGATAATATGAGTAAAATGACTAATTGGAGAGGCTTTGTAGGATAAGCCATTAGAAGATGCATATACTGCATTAAGCGCACAACTCCGGTCAAATGCAAATTTCGATTCTAGAAAATGCATGATGAAGTTGTTATCGATAAAACTTTCAACAGAATACGGATGAAAGTATGAAATATTATAATGAGCAGATGGATATGTGATGGCAAAATATTCGCACTGAGCAAACAACACTATCTAAATAACTTTAAAAGACATTATTAAAAAACATTTCTTGCAATTTCAGTGTGTTAATGTCTCCAGATTAGACCTGCCTGTCACACTTCTTCTGAATGAAAAAGGATGATGGACATCTCTCCAAAGAGCTGAGAGAAGTAGTAATGGAATAGCTTTACTCAAAAAAGTAAATAAGACCTAAGAGAAAAGTAAACAAGGAAAAACAACAGAGGGGATAGTTAAGACACGTACTAACAGTACGTACGGTCACTAGTAAGAAGTGGAGCGGAAGGAATCAACAAGGAGTCTTCTTGTTAAGTAAGGTCGAATGAGTTTGGTTAGAAGGAAATGTATGAGACTGGATCTCTTATCTAGATACTCTTTAGAAGTGAACATCATTATAAAATACTTTGCACTTTTAAGATGGAATGGAATAACAATTTAAGGTAACGGAAAAACAAAGAAAGTAGGAGAAATGTTGTCACAACGCGTAGTTATTGAAAACCTGCGGCGTATTCTCAACCACTCGTGGAGTGCAGCTGCTTCTTTCAAGCTGTCATCCAGTATATTTAGTTCCTTTCCTGTGGAGCTGCTGTTGTTGCTGCTGCTATCGCTGAGTGGCACTTCTCTTAGCTTAAGAATGTAATTAAGGTCTGTTGTAGCAATTAACATTAGTGATATCATTTTTAGACTTCTAGAATTTTATTTGGAGAAATCAATGACACTTTATACCCTGACATGTTCAGCATATCAACATGTTTAACATATTTCTAGTAATTCAAATTTTTCAAATGAATTCTGATAGAAAGTACAACAGAGTCAGGTATTGATAGCTTCGAACGGTAAGTCACGTTGTTATACAATGAGAAGTTAACTCGCAGTATCCGGAAATGATTTTAATCTGTAGAAGGTTTATGGGAATGTTTTAGTCTGAATTGCCTAGGGAGTGTATCATTCGAAAGTACCATATTGCATCGCTAACTACGTTCAAATATTTATTGAAAAATATAAAGTGGTAGTTAATAGCGCGTCACAAAATTTGCAAGAATTCAAAACAATTTTGAGCAATTCAAAAAAAATATTAAATGCAATTTTATGCTATTTTATAGAAATTTTGAAAAAGGCCGCTGAATCAACCATATTTTTTAACGTCGCAACAGATGAGAAAGCTATCGTATATTGTGAAAATTTTTACCCCTTGTATTGGAGGATGAAGTTTCTGTGTTGTTTGATATGAGTGTAAGGAGTTTGAAAAAGTTTATCAAAAACCTGATACAAGATTAATTCTCAGGCAAGAAGAATTTACATGTGAATTGGTTTACGGAAATGTAAGATATGTTAACCATTGAATATAAGCATGGTTATCGAGCTGGTGACCATTAACATTGAAGATTGAAAATAGCTTGGTTATAAGACCGGATATCGCAACATTGTTATGGGAATTGGATAAATGATTCATAACTTGAAGCGTTGAAAAAATTTATTTTACCTTTTTGTGTAATGAATCATTTGTTGGTAAGATATTCTAAATAAGGCAGTCATTATGCTACAGATTTGTAACAAAAACACTTTAATGGCTCCAACATATTATAAATTTTTTCGGTTTTTCCGGCATCACGTGGGATGAATCCCAAAGTTTTTCTTTCAGATTCTTGAAAAGTATGAACAAGCCATGGAAGTGTAAAAAGAGCCGGATTAAACGACTGTTGTTGGAATTTGCACGAATTAAAGCGTTTATACGCTCACGAGATATGTTCTATAGAAGTTGAATGCAATACTCCAAACGACTAACCAATAAAAAATGAATGGAGCTGGAAAAGCAAATCCGTTGTTAAACTGTTAATTATATCTCCACTATATTGAACGTTCCAGTTACATCTCTGAAGTGAATTCCAGAAAGTCAATCCAAATGCATTAATTATATTCTGGGCTGAAATTGGATGAAACATAAAATATATATTCATCAAAACATGGGCTGATTTTAAAAATATTTGTCCAGTATAAGTTGTTATGAAATCCATCGATGTCGACGTGATTTCACGAGACTTATATTTAAAAATTTCTAGCATAATTGAACTAATCTCAGAGTGAATTTGAAAACAGTTTACATTGCAATATCTAGAAAACCTTAACGAACTTTCTATTTCCTCTAATCATCATTTCATGAGATCGCTTCCTCAACTGCATGCAAAGGATGCCTTCAGAATGCCTCAACCATGTTATAACGGTATCTGTGAAATTCACTTATTGAGTCTGGCTGAGGAGCATAAGCATATGAAGATATGTAAATGAAAGTGCAGCCTGAAGTGTTTATCTGGCACTACTGCATGACTGAGGACTTAAGCTCATATGAAAGGAGTGTGGCCTTTCACCGGACTGCTAGACTGTTTTCTATCTCCCTCCTTCAGTTACGATCTCTAGTTATAATTATACACGTCCGACTAAACAATTTCATTCCAGTCAGTCAATATTTGGTCAGTCAAATGCTGGAAATGATGGTATTGCCCCGGAATTTACGTAAATATGTCGTGGGAAGAAGGAATGTGATAATCGTTGTCACCACATATATTGGGGTCTTAATTTGTTCAAGTAAAGGAAAGAGATGAGCAACTACAATCAAGACTTTCAAGGTACTAAGGAACAAAATAAATGGAATACATAAATTCCTTGTTAATTCACTTTGCAAAAATGTAAAATTCATGTCAAATTCATCGAAACAACAATTATTATGAAATTTATCGGGAACATAAGTATAGCCGATAATCCCCATTCTATCACGATATCACGGGTTGTTATTTTCTTGATCGCTGGGTCAACTAGTTATAAAATTAGGTTTTATTGATTCCCACAGAAGGCCTTCTTTTTTTCCATTTTGGACTTCATTTTCCACCTACTATATTACCTTATAATTCCAAATATTACATATCTTTTTTTCTCCATTTGAAAATAAGTTTTGTATGTACTGGAATGGACCAAGATGAAAAGAGGCAAATGAAATAGTCAAGAGAAAAACTTTGAATTTCTGATATATCGGTGGTAATCTATACCCCTGGATGGACCGATTTTCCACACTTCCCTCCTTCTCTTTCTTTTTCCTTATGCTTTTTATGTACTTCCAATTCCAAATTCTTTGAAATGGATGGTTTCGCAGCGAGACCCCCTCTATTGGCTGTTTGAAATTAGCGCAGGTCATCGATTGGCGCTTTGGGATAATGTTGAAGGAGGTCAAATGAGCCCGTGATTGTTGTGAAATGAGTTTTCTTCAGTTACCTGTCATTATTAGTTCTCTTTTCTAATTTTTCAGTTAATGAATGCTCGCTATACGTTTTATCAGTAGAAGTTATTGCACGAAGAAAAAACTTCGGCTTCACCTACTCACTACCAATTGCTGTCCTCTCTGCGAACATTTCAGACAACAACTGGACAGTTACATCTCTCACCAAGGGGCACTTACTTATCTTCAAGTGGAAACTGTCAACATCTCTAATAATACGAATTTTGAGGTTTGTGTAAAAAATCCTCGAATTCGCTTCTCCCACTCTTCCTCCATTTCCGTTCACCTTACTCATCTCCCTTTGTCCTTTTACTTTCAAGTGACGAATTAGGTGGTCCGAATTAGGTATGATAAGCTAAACACTGAATAGCTCTAGTATTTTGTATCGGTGACGAATTGCTCATTTAGATGAGCAAAATCATTTTAAAAGGAGAATTTAGTATGTGGATGTATCAAGTGATTAGGTGTATGAGTCAAGCAATTATGTGGGTTACAGTTTCTTCACACTGTTATTTGTTTACCTCTTTCTCATTTTTGTCATTAATGTGTTGTTTATGCCTGTATACCATGTCAATGTCTATTTTCTTTTTTTCCACACAGTTTCCTGTAGTAGTCTTCATAAAAAGCAAAAGTACTCCAGATTTTACGGAATAAATTGCAGAAATACAAGTATGACGTGCCAGTGCTTTTGTTTAATGGTGAAGTTCTCTTGAAACATCGATTTCGCAGCGAGGAATTCGAGAAAGCTCTGGCTAATATATTGCAGTAAGTGGTAGATGTGTGCATTTGTAGCTGTACACGCTGGTGCTGGGACACACCCACATAAAACGGAAGATGTTTGTCTAAAAGCAGTATGCAAATCGAAAGGAAACATTGTCGAGGCGGTTAAGGTTTACGTTTTTACCTTTGCTTTATTTTAAATTATTTTCGTGGACATAAAATTTTTTAGGGTTTCTTGAAAGAATGGAATTATTTGCTGTAATGGTCCTTCACAATTTTTATTCATGAAATAAAAATTTAGGACAGTGTTGGAATGTGCGTCTAGGACACATTATTGACTATTGATTTTAGTTAAACGATTTCATGATTTTAATGTATATATTATTTTTCAGGAACTTGAGAACGACTTTAGGACAAATTGTGGTTTGGGCTCGAACTTAACATTTGATGGTCATCTGGAATGTGAAGCAGCTTTTACATCCTCTGAAGGTTAAAATTCATGTAAAATATAACTTTCGAAATTTTCTCGGACTTGGAACAAGCTGGTAAATATCAAGTCTGGAAGTATCATTTTTTATTTATATGGTTTCAGTCAGACTTATGCATAGTTATTCGTATCTACTAGTTATTTGTATTGTTCAGTATTTAAGTGAGAGATATTTGTGGATATCGTAGCTTTAGATCAAATGTTGTTCATGCGAATCGCCTTAATATGCTTCTATTCAGGTCATGTGTTCGGCGCTGTTGGAGTGGTGTCTCGGTTACGGAATCCCATTGAAGTTGCTGCAATGTTAGCCAAAGGTTAAATTTTCTTTCATGCAGTTTTTATTGAAGTGGAATATTAAAACTATAGCACTTTTTTTGTGATTTTGGACTGTAAGGTTCAACAGAATTCTCTTTGGGAGGTTTTTGTGGCTTAGTTTTGAGAATCATCATTACAGAGCAGTTGTGCGGTGACAAGAAATTCGTGCAGCCGACAGTTTTGGTAGGCCGAGGTGCTGAAAACTGGGCTGAAAAGCGTGGCATTGTACTCTGTGATCCAATATCACTTATATCAAAAAGATCACAACGACAGTGGCGAGAAGCTCGAGGAATTGTCAGGAACTGGGAAAAGGAGACGATGGATACCGTAGGCGCTGTGTCGGTAATACCTATCAGTTCCCTATGATTTGGGTAGATCAAAGATTTCCAATTGGAGCTTCAAGTTTACGGTCATTTGTTATCTTATGGAAGTTATTTCACTCATTTTGTTCAGTATGAAAATGGTGGTTGTAATGCGGCATGCTCAAGTGGTGGAATTATATTGAAAACTGAAGGGCGATTAGGCCATACGATTCAAGTTGGTGGCGCTATTTGGGCTGACCAAAGGGATTCCAAGAGTGTTGCAATTGCACTGTCTGGCTGTGGTGAATACATCGCTCAAACACTGTTGGCAAAAACTCTTGCTGAAACGTTGCTCAATTGGTAAACATTTTCTCTTGATCACAATCTATATTTTATCTGAAAATTTGGATTATGTTTCTCTTTCTTGCATTAATACTTACAGTTAGGGAGGCAGATATTCCTGTACAGCTACTGAAAATTTCAGTGTCAGGCAAAAGTGTTCATCAGTTTTGTTTATATTAACTTAAGGTAATTTATAAAAATAAAGAAATTGAGTTGTTTTTAAGGAACTGCGAAGAAGATGTAATTCTGGATAAAATTAAACATGTTTTCAATGCTGCATTTCTACATTCTCCTTATCTAAAAACGCGAAATAAAAGACACATCCTTGCTGGTGGATTGGTACTGTTCGTTGACAGAGGTATATGGATGATTTAAATATCGGGAGGAAATGAACCCACTTTGTACAAACCACTTAAATCTTATCGGTGACAGTGTAAATAGTATGAATCTGAGTACTTTTGAGGGATTTCTACCTAACCAAGTACACTAGTGCGCATCAAAAAGAATTCAAGAAAATAAGATTTAGAATCAAGTAGCGTCTCTTCACTTTATGTGAAGCTCTTTTTGTTCTTTTGACATGCATGAAAAATGATGTTAATTGTACTAATACCTTCTGACCCATTTATTCTTCGATATCGACCGGCATTCTATGGAGAGTTCAAATCTTTGTGACATCCTGATTTGACTTGAGATGTTTGGCTTTCTCTCTCCGAAATCAGGAGGGGCTAGTAGACCTACCCTGCAAGAAGGGGAGATTGGGGAAGTTTCGTTTCGTTATTTTAGTTCCGGTTGCCATGTCATCCTCTGGTTGACGAACGAGTTCATGCATATACCAATATGTAAAAAGTATGTAAAGACAGCACCTTCAGTAAGCCGTAGAAGTAAAATTGCTTAATAATTGCATAGGATGGATTTAGTGGTTTTTTACTATAGGAGTATCTTATGTTATTTTCAGCATCGGAAAAATTCATTGCTTGCGACTACTTTACAGTATAATGAATTTAAGCATTCCAGCTAGTTTGATTTTATTTGGTATTAATGAAATGCAATTCAAAGAACGGATAAGAAAAATGTTACAAATATTTCATTTCAGAAAGCGAGTGTGCGGAACTTGTTTCGTTTCACAACACAACGGAATTGACTTTTGCATTTTTTGGGAATGGAAATGGGATGAAATACCGTTCTCGTTCGATTTCCAATGATTTCATTGCTCATTCCTTTTCCTTGCGAGATTACATCAGTCTTTGCTGATTTTTACTTTGAATAATAAGTTGTTAGTGCGGAATAGAAGTTGGCTGTGTAATATGGTTATTTTATTATATTGTTCAAAATTGTTGCTTCGAAATAAAATATTCAGTTTTGATTATATCTGTTTCTTTCAACAGTAACTTAATGCTTTCGACTTACTTGGTAGTCGTATAGCTAGCGGAAGTATCAGCTCCTACTAGCGATTCACTCGATGTAATTATGGGGGAGCTGTCGAACTGAGTTTTAATCTTCTGGAATAGTTAGTTTCGTTTGAGGAATAGATGCATGTGATATGTAATCGGGATCTATGTTAATACTATGCGTAGTGACGAGGTTATGCTATGCCCACTCTTTTAGTTTAGATTAAAAAAAAGTTTATGCTACGATTAACTTTATAACACTAATTTCCGTCGATACTTGGGTGCGTTTCCTGCTTGCTTATTTTTTTCAGAAGATTTGATCCATTAGATCTCTTCAAGAAAATGCATGGGCCAGTAAAAAAGTTTGTAATCCCTTCTCGAGATGATGACTTGTTAGAAGAAAGTGACGATTTTTACACGATAAGTATACGTCCTCAACTGGATGAGATCATTTCAAAAGTATTTCGTAAGTTTTTTTAACGTTCTTGTTTATGGGGATGGATGCCTTTCTGACCAAAATATTCAGAAGCAAACTTTCTGGATGTTTTCTGGAAGGGAAATATGTACAGATGCTGGGATTGGATTTCTCGAATAAATTTAGCACTGAAGTACACATCGGCGATTAAAAAAAATATTTCATTTGTCTGGAGAGATATTTGTGGGAAAAAGAGGACCGGCAGTGATTGATTTTCATAACCCAATTGTCTTAGCTATTGGCCATGTATGACATTTTGCAGAATTTCATCACGACATAGATGCTGGCAGATGGTCGCGAATCATCGATAGATTTGACCACTTATTTTTCACTATAAAGTAGGTTATCATTTACAAATGGATGAAAAACTTAGTATTTCAACACTTGTTTAAATTACATTTGTTTAAAGCTCTCATTCAAGGATAGCTATAAAACTGCTAGTTTCAGTGAAATGGATTTCGATCTTTTCGACTTCAGTGTTCCATCTACTTTCATACTTTTTTTCTCATTCCTGCTAATATGAAAAGAGTGATAATATTTCCCGAGTGATTTTCGTTATTGATTTATTAGCCTATCTTATGTTCTTTCACGAGTGATAATATTTCCCTAATAATTCTTCGTTGTTAATTTATTAGCCTATTTTATGTTCTTTCACGGATTGTTTTTAGGCCATTTTCCGAGGGTGAACCGTGGCGTCTTCGTGCTCAGTTAATCTCGGTTTTAAATGCCGGTATGTTTTAATTATTCGGCCGCCATAGGTTATCTTTTATTACTTAGTGAAATGTTTTAAAATTTTCCAGTTCTTTATTTTAGGTTTAAAACTCACGTTGGACAGTATCGAAGAACTGTTACCAATGCTTATAAGTGAGGCTGAAGCTGAATTAGCGCAAGATCTATTTGTTGAAAGAGAAATGCATGCGCGGGCATTTCTAATTTATGTATATTTGTTGTGCCGACTTGCTGTTCTTTTTGAAAAGGAATCATCTAATCGGTTTATATTAACTTTGTTTTGAAACAGTCTCATTTAGGCATGAACTTTCAATTCCCTAAATTTGCAATGGTTATGTTTGCTGTATTGATGAGTCATTATCATAATTATCATAAAAAAAGAGGAATGTCGTTAATTTACTCTGCTTTTCAATATTATTTGTCAGAATCGGTCTGCCGTTCATTCTGAATTCCGTAGTTTAAATTAATCAATTCGTTCAACTTTTTTTTCCACTAGGAAGGTTTCAAATTTCTAATCATCCGAAATTCTAATATCGCAAAATTACATTTGTATTTTTTCTAATATTAGGCAGTCAGAAGCATCGAACATCAAGAAAGGCCGTAAAGCAGTGCCAGATAAGGCAGACGATCAGTACATGGTCCAGTGGACATGCAATCGAGGCAATACTTTGAAATTATTGCGCCGTGCATTTTCAATGAATAGTATCGATGCGCAGGGACGACGACGTAATACAGCTATCCGCTTTCTCTGGCAACCATCTATAGTACCGCCGGAACTGTTAAAGTAATCACCAAACTTACAATTTGTTTATTATTGCTTATTTACTTTGAGTTTGATGAAGACTGAATCGATTAAAGTATAGTTTACATCAAAATTCTTTGAAATCACCAAATTGTTTTGGTATTTCCAAAGACGTACTTTTGAGTTTGAATGTAATGCAGCAAGTTCCTTGGAACTTTGAATTATTTTGTGATTTTTCTAAAATTTATCAATAGAGGCTGTAGAATTTTGCAATTTTTTTGAGGATTTCGAAAGATCTGGCTTACAAATTTCTCGAAAATCCGGAACTTAGCAAGGTTAGCGGACGTGACTGGTTGCAGGCAATATTTGGCTATCTCAAAGTTATTTGTATTGACTACAGCGAAGTCACAAGTGAATATTTCTACTTTTTCTCTTCACCAAAAGTAATTTCTTAAATCCTCTTCCTTAAAATCGAGGGAAGACGATTTATCATTCCATGTGGCTGCGGTCATTAGTAAGAACGCCTTGTCGCTCTTGTAATGATGGAAGTCTGTAGTTACTGGCCTCTTGTAAACGAAATTTCAGTTCATGGTTTTTTTATTCCAGAAGTTGGTGCCAAATTGGTGAGTTTGATGAAGCGTCTCGATTATTTGTCGCTTTCTTCTTTAACACAGTCGCCTTTTGTTGATGCAATCGAATCTGTTTCTTATTACGATGATATGGACACTCTTTTCCAGTCAATACTTTCGGCATTGAGTAAGTCGAATATAAATTTGCACTTTTTTTCGTAACAACTATTGCATCTCATTTTCCCTTCCAAAGAATAGTGTTTACATTATTTCTTGTTAACTATGACACATGAAATTTACATGTTTCTAAAATGGTACTTCTTCTAAGTCTTTAAGAAAATATACTGAAGATTCAATATATTTTTTAATCGTAAAATTCAAGTTAACACTAGTCATGATAAAGTAATCGTTCAGTTGCTTATTGCCAATTTTTGAACTTAGATGTGTTGGGAAGTTTACATCATTCGTTATATTTGAAACACATGTCCAGGTCGCTTATCGAAAAATGATTTTGCTCGTAGTGATGTGTCAGCTCGACCATTTGCTTTATTCATTGTTTCTTTGGCCGAGAAGAAGCCATATTTGTTGAATAAACATATCGTCAATATTGCTTCATTTCTATCGGATGATGTAACTCTCTTCTGATTTTTGTCTTGTGTTTAATATTTTGCTCCTGACATTATCGAATTTCTTGTTTTTAACTGGTTTTCAAGATAGTGTATGTTTAACTGATTTTCAAGGTGAACTGTAAAACACATACTTTTGCAGCCAGCTACTCTTCGTTGTGCTGTTCTTACTGCCTTTGTCGAAATAGTTATGATCGTATATAAGGGAAATTTACCAGAGGGCAGTTTTCGACGGTCACGCGACCGGCTTCTCCTTCACTTACAGGTTTAACAGCTATACCTAAAATATCTTTACTATGTTATAAAATGGAAATTTCTTTTTCCTTTTTTCATTTTCCAGAATTATGAGTTTTCAAGATTTTTTCATTTCTTTTTCTATTATTTCTATTATTCATGTTGAATCAAATCAGTTAAAGGATCATACTGTTGATGTGAATGCAGTAGTACGTTCTCGTACATTGCAACTATGGACACGTTTGGCTCGTGCTTCACAAATACCGATAGTTTTTATAAGTGGTGGTCTCATTCGTGATGCCGGTGGCCGCTTGATAGATAAGTCTGTGTCGGTTCGGCGGAATGCCGCTACATTTTTAAGTGCCATTTTGGAATACAATCCATTCGGAGCTTCTGTGAGTTACAGTTTATTTTCCTTCCAAGCAAAGGATTTGCATAATCTTGGCATCGAATCTTACAGTAAATATAGATACTACTTGAGAACAGTTAAAATTTGTTTTAAGTGTATGTATAAAAATTTTTGTTTTTATCAGCTGAATGCTGATGATCTGGCGGATGCTATTAGTCGTCTTGAGGCGGAACGATTTGAACTGAAGAATACCAATCCAGGTGAAAGACATTGAGATCTTACAAGAAATTATTTATCTTTTTTTACTTGCCGAGAAATTTTGCGAGGAAATGCAAGTTATAATAGATATTCAACGGATTCATACTGCTTATTCATTACTGGATTGAATTAAAAGATGGGGTTTTTTTTGGACCCTATTAATGAGAATTACAGTATGTCTTTTGATGAGCGATTGTACCCGATACACCTTCCTAACATTCATACACGAAATAGATTTACAGTCAACTGCACCATTCCTCTCTGTTCAGTTTATCCTTTTTTCGTCCTAGATAGTCCAAATTACTTAAATCTTTTTTATATCAGAATTATATATTCTACTTGCAGAGAAGGAAGGAATCAGAAAAGCCTGTATTGAGTGGGCATCTATGAAAGAAAATTTGATTCAGTGGATTACAAAATCAGTCAAACAAAGACTAAGTAGACGGAATGTAGAAGCTAGTGAAGAGGAAAGCGTAGGCAACATTATTGATCAAAATGGGAATGAAAATGCTGCTGGTATTTTTTGGTATAATGTTTGTTACATAACGGTCTAAATGTTTTATTTTGCATAACAAGCGCCATTCTTAACAAATTATTACTAAATAAGAATTTTCATAGGAGATACAGAAAATATTTATGCTGAGGTCAGTGAAACAAATGGCATCGGGACGACCACGGTCGCCGAGTGCGTCATTGATGATGATGTCACGCTCGAAGAGTATGTTTTACTTTTATATCTGTGAATTCCAGGAATATTCATATTTGACTGAATTACAGTATGTCTTTTGATGAGCGATTGTACCCGATACACCTTCCTAACATTCATACACGAAATAGATTTACAGTCAACTGCACCATTCCTCTCTGTTCAGTTTATCCTTTTTTCGTCCTAGATAGTCCAAATTACTTAAATCTTTTTTTTTCTCTTGATAATTCATTCTATGTTGAAAGTCCAATAAAGTAAACAGATACTGTTGCTGGATAATTTTTTTTTGCTTCCAGATTAATAACTAAAATTGTGCATGCTCTTGAAAATCGTGAGACATGCCGTGCGGCTGTCGAAGTACTTGTTCGAGCAGCTTTCGATGGCAGATTTCCTACTGTTAACAGGCCTGTGTTTCCCAGTTTTTGTTGTTTCTTTTAATGCGAAGTTTGTGTACTACATGTTGCGAAAGTTTTATCGTGAGGGGACGCAAGGGAAAATTGAATCGAAATATTATTGCAAAGCGAAAAACTTCCTTCAGTGAAGTATTGCTGTAAATGTGAACCTTGAGTTGCGAACACGAGCGGCGAATTCATAAAACAATTTATTAACCAATAAAATATGCAGAACAATAATGCATAGTCGGGTAATAGCAGGAAATAATACTTCAAATGTAAATTAATAAGTGATGAGTGGTAGAAGAGCTGGTGTCCAAATGGACGAAACGCCGGAAGAATGAAGGATCCCAATCAAAAACTGGAGATAGGCCATATATATATAACAGACAAGAGGGTGGGGTTTACAATATCTAGAAAGGATGTAAGTAGATATACGTAACGAAAACAAGAGAATTTGTAACATAATTTCCAAGCGGTACAGAATAGGTAATATATTATCACACTGGGGCGTTTTTTATTACTTTATAGACGGCCAATATAGATGAGCAAAATGGAAGGAGAAATTCAAATGTTGCCAATCAATTCCAAAGCTAAATCATCGCTAAAATGTGGAAAGTGGTTTCGGGTTTCCCGCCACTACATTACAAGAAAAACATTTTGCTATACATATTCTGCTGACAATTTCGAAATTGCTATATTACATGCAAACTTTAGGAATGGGTCAGCCGATGAAATTATTCGAGAATGTTATGAATCGTTGCAAGTGTATTACTTCGGTGTGGTTTTTGACATTATAATTTACTTCTTTTAGTAATTTCCTAAATAATGCCGTTGCCAGCAACACTACCACATGTTAATTAACTTATTGTTTAGATGAGCATAAAAAGATGCAGTTAGCTGATGACGAAGAAATGCTGGAGCTGGAAGACCGCATTGGGGATTACCAAAAGACGATGGAGGAACTGGATAATAAAATCAAACTGCATGAGGCGAGTATAAGCGGTTTTTTATATCGGGGAATAAAAATGGTACTTAGAAAAATATGATTAAAAATGCTTCAATTTGAGTTGAATTGGTCCGTTAAGGACAGCCGAATCAAACATACTTTTAGCATGTTTATTCAAAATGATGTCCTACTTTTAGAATGCTATAATGTTTTCACTGGAAATTGAAAGTTGCATAAAACTAGCATTACGATCAGTAATGTATGGACAAGCTAATGAATTAACTGAGATTATTCACTTTATTGTGGAAGCTAATAAATTTGGAATTCGTGATTCGGAAAAGGGTGTTCGTGAACTATTCAAAGTGGTTTGGCGGCGAGACAGTGCGGTTAAAGAAATTATCATAAATGCCGCTCGAGATTTATTCATCTCTGCAAACAAGTTTGTTTTCATGCCTGTTTTCATACATTCCATCCGCTTTGGAATTGGGAACATCCCTTGAAGAAATCTACTGTTCCATTCTTTCACTCATTTAAAACCCTCAAAGTTTTTGGTTAAATGATCTTTTGAGTTATTTTGAATGGGATATCACGTAAATTTGATTGAATCAAACAAGCAAATAACGCAGAAATGAAATATCGAAAAGTCCATACCAAAATCTTACTTTTCATTGCTCCCAACGGAAAAAGTCATTTCATGAAATCACCATTTGAATTACTAACTATGGCGAAACAAAAGTTGTATAATTAATGTGGATGGGACCGATTACTTTTAACCATCAATGCTATTTTCGCATCAGACAGAAATGAAACATTTTGGGAAAGCAATGAAAAAAAAAAGGCAGTGAGAAAAAAAATTTCTTATTTAACTTGTTTAGAAAATATTTTTTTATACAGAGATCGCGATGTAAGTGCACGGAGAAGTGCGGAAAATCTCATCAAAATAGTTCTTGGTATCGGCGAAGAAGAAAGAGTGTCCGTTGAGGAGGTTGGAATGTTGAAATATTTTATTGGTCTTTGGACAAACTAGTCCCTCATTGATGGGTGCAGTTATGCGACCACTTTCAGTTTTTAGGTTTTAAAGTAAGGTAAATCGTGCTATTTATCGTACCTAGGTCCTCTGCTTGATGGCTCGGGAAAATCGCTGGGATATTGATTTGCTTGACGTACTCTCTGCAGTGGTCTTTGAAACTCAAGGTGTATCTCGGATTGCAGCTTTACGTCTCTTCTCTATTATATGCAGGTATTTTGTTTAAATATTTTAATTTTAAAGTTTTCGGTGGAGGGTTTTTATTTTTTTTGTTTTAATTTTTTTTTTTTGTCGTCTTCAGTTCCAAGATATCCTTTGATCATATTTTTCAGAGCTAACAAAGAATTTATGCGGGAAAGATTAAATTTTTTTATTGAGTTAACGCAACGTGAGGGTTTTTTTGACAATGACGACGGCGCATTAGCTGCCGAATTTTTTAATGCGATCGCTATGTTGGGAAGTACACCAAACATTAAAGATGTTGGTGCTCTTTATGAGCCATCGTTCCGTCTCCCTGAAACTCATCGCATCCTACAATGTGTGCACGCTGTATTAGTGCAAAGTAAGTCATTTTTATTATCAAAATTCATAGAATGAAGTTACGTCTGTGCTTGGTTGAATAGCTTTTTAAGCGTAAAGATTATGATCAGCTAATTTCATGTTGGATAGAACTGAAGTGGATGAATTTTATAATCAAATGTATCTATAGTTTTGCTAATTTATGATATAAATCTTCCAGATGTAGCAAATACATCATATAATTGGTTAAGTATGATGCAAAAAGCTGTAAAAACAATATTCTATGTCGCTGCGAGGCCATCTCTTTGTTGTCGACTTATTGTCAGTGGATTAATGCATGAAGCAAAACGGTCCCTCGCATACTTTTTCCTGAAGAAACGAGAAATTGAACAGATTGAAACAGTTAACTTCGAGTGTGTTTGTTTTTTTTTCCTCTTTGTATTTGAAGCGACAATGCCTATTTGCTTTGCTAGTTTTCAGAAACACAGTCTTTGTTTAGAAATCCACCGAATAGTGCAGATGTTGATGAGTTTGGTGATCTGCTGGCAATGGGGAAGGAGCGGTCACGAGACTGTAGCGAAACTGAAGATGAAGAACTAATTGAATCACAGAATGTTGGTCTTATTGATGACGATAATTTATCGAAGATGAAAGAGGATGTATTGGAATTACTACATAAAGATAAGGAGCAGTCTTTTTTAGCTTGGGAAACAGTGGCAGAACGAGTTTGTGCCTTTGCTGGACAGGTTAGTTTTAGATTTAGACGGAGAAGAGAATTTGAAGTATTAATAGAATAATTCAAAAATATAAGCAAAAAATAAATAGACTGTTATGACAAATGTAAGTGTTATACATGTAGTGATAATAGAATGTTTTTCAGATCGCTTTGAAGACAGTAGTCCACATCGATGTGTCATTCGTGGCTGAGATGAAAAGGAAAAATGAAATTTTGCACGACATCCGAGCAACTCTGAATGACATCGGTCATGATAAATTGGAGAGGACAAATTGTATTGAAGAACTTTCAACAAACAGGGTGCTTTCAGCACTGGAAGCTGAATCAGTTGAAAGGCGGGGATTTTTCGAAGCTAATGAATTAGAAGAAGGCGATCGTTTAGGCTTAACGGGTTTGTAGTTTTATCACTCTTAACTTATACATTAGTTTTAAAAACTAACAAACAATTTCACGGGCACTAACGTTTAACTTTATGGGACATTATCAGAACTAGTCTCATGTGCCGGAAAATCTATTTTGTTGACTTCGTTTTTCAGCGATATAGGTTTATTCGGGATATAATGTTGTTTTTGCGCAATATTATTAGTTAACAACGACGTATATATATATATATATATATATATATATATATATATATATAGTAGTAGTAGAGAGTAGTAGTAGT